AATTAGGGGCAATCAGGCAGGCAGGCAGAGTGGTTAGGGGCGATCAGGCAGGCAGGTAAGCGGTTAGGAGCCAGTGGTCCCAGATTGGGAGAGGGATGTCTGACTGCAGGATTGGGCCTAAACTGGTAGTCAGACATCCCCCAAGGGGTCCTGAATTGGGAGAGTGCAGGCCGGGCTGAGGGACTCCCCCCCCCACACACACACCCCCAGTGCACGAATTTCGTACACCGGGCCCCTAGTATTTAATAAGAGAAACTTTGAATGCAAGCCTGTTTTACAGGGGGTCAGCTTTTAAAAACTGTCACAGCCCTTGATCTTTTACACACTCCACACAGAGCAGATGTCTAGTAATAAAACATGAGGAATTGCAAAGAATCTATTCTGTGTCACATCCTCACTTTAAAACCATTCATGGGCTCCCAATTACCACAGAATAAAATCCAAACTCCTTAGTGTAGTATTCAAGGCCCTTCACAACCTGGCTCAAATCAGGTTGTACATGTGTCTATTACAATGTGTCACCCTGAATAATGTAGCTCAATTAGCAGATTATGTTTGTCTCCAGGCACGGCTGGGAGCTTCTGGACCACAGGAAGCAGATCTTACTCATTCCAGGCCCTGCCCACTTCCCCCTCGCTCTAACCCAGCGGTTCTCAACCTGTGGGTCGCGACCCCTTTGGCGGTCGAACGACCCTTTCACAGGGGTCGCCTAAGACCATCCTGCATATCAGATATTTACATTACGATTCATAACAGTAGCAACATTACAGTTATGAAGTAGCAACGAAAATAATTTTATGGTTGGGGGTCACAAAATGAGGAACTGTATTTAAAGGACCAGAAGGTTGAGAACCACTTCCTAACCCAGGGGTCCTCAAACTTTTTAAACAGGGGGCCAGTTCACTGTCCCTCAGACAGTTGGAGGGCCGGACTATAGTTTAAAAAAAAACAACTATGAACAAATTCCTATGCACACTGCACATATCTTATTTTGAAGTAAAAAAACAAAATGGGAACAAATACAATATTTTTATTTGCATGTGGCCCGTGGCCGTAGTTTGAGGACTCCTGGCCTAACCCATTAACCAACACATGGAAGGGGTTCTAATTGTTTTGGATAAAATTATTTCCATTGTATTTCTATGTCAGCTGGAATTTTTATTGTGGTAAAATATACATTATTTGAAATTTCCATTTTAACTTCCCCCCCACCCCCCACCCCGAATCTTCACCCATGGATACATTTTCACTGCTTTCTAGAGAGAGAAGGCAGAGACAGAGAGAGACATAGATCAGTTGCCACACCCAAAACTTAGGTATGTGCCCTGGTCAGGAATCAACCTGCATTTGGTGTACGGGACAACATTCCAACCAACTGAGCCACCCAGCCAGGGCCCATTTAACCATTTTTAAATATACATTTCAGAGACTTTAGTGCATTTATACTGTCAGCTGGATTTTTGATAGATTATCTCAGCAGATCTCTCATTGTAAAATTCATCATGATGAAGAAAAGGGGAATGAAGGAGAGCGGGTGAAAGACAAAATGCGCAGGACAATAAATTCAATGATTTTGTTCGGATTCTTGCAATAGGGAGAGTGATCATTAATGGGGAACGTATTTAAAAAAAAGAAAGGTGGCCTGGTAGGGAGGTGACCAGCAAGGTCTTATCTGAGTCATCGAAACAAGGTGGACATGGATCTTACCTTGGAAAATTCTTTTAAAGTCAGCCATTTCTCAGAATTCAAAATGGGGTGTTGGGGAGTCACGGGGAGGGGGCGGATTTCTTGACTGTAGCTGCTCTCCAGAAGTATGGGGTTCAGATAAAGCTCTACACTGTCAAGGTGTTGAGGGGAGGTGAAGGGAGAGAGAAAAAGGGGCCACGCCCCCCTCCAACACTGCTCTACACGTGCCTGGAACCTTCTGAAAGCCCAGTGAGGTCCTGACCTACCATCCTTCCAGCTGCTTAATATTCCGCTCTGTCTCGGTGGAATCATCTCCCGTGATCCAGGGCTGCACACCTTCAGGGCGTGGGGCATTCATACACAATGCGATTTGTGGGTTCCAGCAGTTCTGGCTGATTCCTCTACTTTCCTGTCTTCAAAGCCAAACAGGTACTTTTATCTAGGAGCACCTTGAAGCTTGATGCCCATGCTACCCTCCACGACAGAGACTCCAAGGCAGCGCCGTGGCCCCATCTGTCCCTCTCCCTCCCACTTTTCACTTTTAATTTTTTTCAATTAGCAATAATCATGCCTCGGATAAACCTCATTGGCTACGATACTGCTACTGCG